AACAATCTCCTCATAGACCACATTTAGGGCCAACAACTCCTCTAACCTTTGACGTTTTTCCACGCACACATCACGCAGACTGGCATACTGTCGATCAATGGTCGCCTGTATAGCTTTCAACACTTCAATCCGTTTCATTAGCTGTTTGTAACGCGCACGCAATTGACGTTTCACTTGTTTTCGATCACGTAGTTCCTGTTCGTTCATATCTATCCGTGGTTCATTTGGTCGTTGTAGTAATTCCAAATGCTGCTTCAGTTCATCTGATTGTTCACGTGATTGATTGAGAAGTTGCATTGTGTGAGCATCTGTCGCGTGAGCAGATTGAACGGTAGAAATAGGAGAGATAAATGATAAACAAGTTCGAAAATGAGATCGCGTCACCTCATGAGAAATGATCATGAGAAATAGATTTATTGAAACCAACAGTTCCTACCATTGTGTTGTGCATGGTACCATTGTTTTACTATTATCTTTTGATACTTGGACATTTCTACTTCTCACTTTAAGCATGGTTCCCGACTGCTTTGGCTTCTCACCACAGGACTGATGCGAATCTCAGATATGTCGTTCTTAGGTAACCGTTATTAGACAGCGAAGGCAACAAAACGATAATCTGCCAGTGCTTCAATCGGTTTCCATCAGCAAACGGATCAATATCGGACTAACGTTCAGCGGTTGAGTAACCGATACGAAAAAACCCGAAATTTAAGTTTCATATATATGTAAACTTTGGACACTCACCGACTGCGTTGTCAGAAATGTTCGTAATTAGCCGGCGATTCGGTTATCACGTTTAACTGGCCTCAGTGGTAACCTACGTGTTTAATCCAGCAAGAAGACCCCCCAACCTTCGAACTATCTCATTTTATTTGTACACAAGAGGCAGTCTGTATAAGATGCATGGTATTCATAACCAATTCCTTGCATGAAAACTTACTGGCTCAATTATTGTTTACGACAGGCTCTTCTGACTGGTTTGTCTGATTATAACCCGATTGGTTGATTGTCTTGTAGCCATTTCAGACAGCTGTTTAAACCTGTTTAGTTCATTGATCCGCTTCACTAGTTCCAGTGTATTTTCCGATTCTGAATAAGCGACGGTATGCTGTCTGCTAGCTAAACCACCGATCTGCTCGCTGATTCCAACCCGTTGATTCTGGACAGGAGATGACTTACTATCTACTACCCGAATTAGGCCGTCTAAAGACAATGTGGCCGCCCTCACAGACATATTATACGCGAATCAGGCGAGCATGGTTGATGGCATATCTCAAATCATGGGTTTTCCAGCCACGGTAGACAGAAAAACGACGGGCTTTCAAAAAATTTCTAATGGAGATAACACACACGTGGGTCGAGAGCAAAGTCATACAATGAGCGAAGGGGACTGACAATTTTATGAGACACACGGTCATGGAAAACCGTTGTCACTGTTTGACGTCGGGCGCCGTGGCAAAGAGAATCAGGTAACCAAGACCATGGGGGTCAGGGAGCTGAGGTCAATGACCCAACAAGAACGAAGGGAATAAAACAAACAGACGGATTGCGATTCCGTCAATGGAACTCCTTCGGAAACAAATAGATCAGTGAATTGGTTACACAGCCCGCCCGACAGTCAACCCATAACATAAGCGCGATCATACGAACTTGCAGATAAGACAGTAAGTTAACTATGCCTTGGTAAAACACCAGGTACACAAGTGTTGGTCGACAGTCTAAGAACGCACCTGAGGATAATAGGTGACGCACCCATCAATGGATTAACCAGCTTCAGTTGAATTTAAAACCTAGTACGCACACCTCTCACATTTTAGTTCGGTGTGGGCCATACCTTTTGAACTATCAGACCACATATTGGGCTTTGATTATTCCCTGAAAGAGCCACATCTTATGTCCAACCTAATTACAATGGCAAAAGGCATCCACCACAGTGAACTTGCCAACCGATCGCCTCCACAGCGACTTCCCTTTGCATCGGCATGAGTCCATCAGCTTAAGACACATGACTGATTGACGAATTCTGCCAAGTGGATCAGCTGAAATCTGAAAAACCAAACTTCATGATTGGTAAAAATTACAGGGAACTCACTGAAATCTCGCACACTGGCAGCCAATAATCCATTCACCCGTTGTTCCACATTGGCATGCTTTCGTAGCTCTGCCTTGGCGGTCACTGTGTCACGACTTGCACGTGAATCTAGCAAGACAATTGCCTCGGTCTCCGCGAGCCAGGCACATAATTCGTTAAAATCAGCCAGATGTTTCAAGCATCGATGACCCACATCCAAGAGAGAACCACGTTGTTCAAGTCGAGTGTGCAATTCCACGCGGTCTCGCCTGACGTCGGCACACATACTGGTCAGATCATGCAGAACTTGAGTTCGTAACCGAAACTTGATACCCTTGGAATGAAGCAGAATTTGATCAGATCCGTTGGTCAAATCTTTAGAAGCGGTCGATCCGGCTGCACGAGTTTGCCACTGGATGAGAATGCTAGCAGCTTCCTGTAGTAGAAGATAACCAATGTGGTTATTTGGCACCATATTTGATTTCTCATTACCAACTAATGAACAAAACATTTTTAGACACAGCTTCTGATTTACAGCACAGAGTGTGAACCTAGCCGAGAGGCGGTGAATCTACGTTGGATGTGATCGGATAGAAAGTTTTGTTCATCAGGGGACATTATCCATTCACACTGTTCAGGCTGTTTGGGAGCTAGGCTCATTCGGAACGGAGGAATGTGACAGGGCTAGCCAACTAATTGGGCATGTATGAAGCACCATTGTGGTAAAAATCTTCCAAACAGAGAAAAAGTTTAAAAAGGCTTTAATTCGGTTACTCTGGTATACCTCTTGCGATTTTACGTAAGCGTATGTTTGATGCCTGAACGTGATGACATGATTCCTGTTTTAAATGCTTAAAATGAAAGTTGCCTACTAACACTGCTTCCAGTAGACAATAGTTGAATGCACATACGAAGAGGAGGTAGATGTCCTAGGTAGTTATATGGATACCTCAGCAGATCCAGATCTTAAGCGGCTCATTGCTATCGTCTGCTCAACCTAGTCAGAATAGTTACTAAGGAAGGCCGTTGTGTGAATGCTTTATTATATGCAACCTTCCGTGATGACATGAAAGTTAGAAAACATAAAGCAGAACCCATTTACTGCAAGTATTCTGCAGTTTGAAGTGAGGGAGTCCTGATATCGAGTTACCAATTTATCACCAGTTACTAAATCTCCTCGAGCAACCAATGGGGTAATGATTGTATCTAAACTACAATCAAGTGAAACCGAAGTGAATGACAACAGCTAATTCGATCCCAATCGGGTATCTTGAATCGTGCAACAGTAATCATTTGGTGTGTCCTGCAATGTTCCCGTCCACTTAAGACACATTTTGAGATTATCTGGATTGAGTTTGGTATTAACAAGGCAACTGAATTTTTTGGTGCAATGTTCACCTTAGAGGATAAGCTAGTAGGCCGTTTAGGAAGCTCTAGAAACTTCGAGAGAGGGTTACTGGCCTCGTAGTTCTTCTGGTGGGGTCCACGCATTCAAGACAGAATGAAGATGGCGTTTGTGAGTTGGTTAAATGCCATCGAGGAACGAGACTTGAAACGATCTTATCAATTCAGTGAATTTAAAATTTCACTAAACCCTACCTTAAAATATGACTCTGCCATGTCCATAACAATCTTCATCTTCTCCTTATCGATTGCCTCAACTCAAAGCGACCGTGATCTGTTCGTGGTTGGAACACTTGTACTTGATATCCATGCCTTGGTTTTAAGATTTGAGGACCTCTGTGATACTGATGGTTCGTTTCTATTTGCCTTATATATGTTATGTGTCAGGTTTCCATCTTCTAAATAGGAGACATTATCAAGGCAGTTACAGTAAATGGAGCTAATATACCATGAAATTCCGAAGCCCCACCTGATGATGAAGGACCTTGAAGGTGATGTAAAGATTAACTTTCACTTATAGAAGGTCAATCACAGTGAATAATCAACTAAACACTGAATGAACTCAGACGAGGATATAAAAGCCTGAACTATGGGACCCATCGAAAACGACAAATAAATTGAACACATAGACCAAAACGCAAAAATTCAAATGGGACAGTTGCAGAGTGTTTTATTCACATTTGAATAGCGTGTGAAATTTGACGAATTATTCAGTACTGATTTCTTATTTGTGGCCTGTCTTTTTCTTCCAGCAATGAGTGTCAGCACAGTGGAGAGGCGCAAAATACGACCTAAAATTCCTAGTACTTTGGCTGAAATAACCGGTAACCATGATACTGAAAAAGAGTTGAGAACCGCATGATATCTTATCGACTGACGAGTGGGGGTAAAATAATTTTTTCCACTATAACAGAGAAAAGAAGTCCAAAAACAACAACTGGTCCTGCCACAGTGCCACCCGGGTTGAGTCACAAGAACAGATTAACCACAGAAGCAACATTTACCAAGTATTACGGCAATTTACCAAGATAACCATTTTCAGTCTAATGAAAGGCTTTAAAGACCAAGCAATTTGTTTATGGGAATGGCTGGCGCATTATCAAAAGACGGCTTGGCTTTTTTGGTTTGGCGAACAGCCAGCACGTCTTCGTGTGTCCTGAAGTGAGGACAAGATTGAAGCAAACGAAGCCGACCGAAGAATCAATCAAATACCAACAGTTGTCTGGACTGAATAAAACAATTGGGTTAGTCCCCAGAATAACCGCTCAGGAGAACCGGATGAGAATTACAGGCGAACCAGTAGGCGTGCAAGCTAAGATTTGGTTTGATCACCTTTCATCGTATATAAACTGAGATGATTCGAAGACAGGATAGTCTTCTCCCTAGAGTTATTGGGAAGGATTAGAAAAGCAGGCAGTTGTTCACCAGCGCCTATCTCGTTGTCCGCAGTTGAACAAACCAGATACGATAGCTTTGATCATGCATTCGTTTGGTATACAATGATTTTAGATAAATAGGGACTCACTTTCAGCAGTGATTCCACATGTGCATCCCGCACGGCAACTTCTTGGAGCATCGAACGATGCTGTCGAATGAGATGATTCACGGCTAGCAGTGATCGACCAACATCCTGATTGTTAGCCACGTTAATTCGTTCACGAATCCATATTTGTTCGTCTCCCAAATCGCTGATTGGGATGACAAAAAAATTGAAAATTACTTTGATTAATAGCATCAAAACTGGTTTTATAAGTCTGATGAGAAAAACAGAATATTACTTTCGTACATTCTTGCTGGTTCTGATAATTGTGAACAATAAAGATTTTAAAAACAGAATCGAAAACACCGTGCCTTGTGGTAATTGATATGTGTGATAGCCTTGAAGAGGATAACATTTTATGCCGCGGGGGGCGACGTTTATCCATTACATGAAATGACTACTTGCTGTTAACAGTAGCCAGATAGTGGAATGTAAAAGGATAGGAAGAGGACGCCATTACTTGTGCTCTTTTGAAACTTGGAGTGAAGAAATTCAAGTGAAGTTACTTGTTATTTTCCCTCTAGTAAATTACACTTTTGGCAGAACCACTTTGTTGCAACAGAATTTACCAAATGAAATGCCGAACTGCCAATGCTCGGCGAGGTTCAGTGAAGTCTATTTATGTAGACGGAATCCAGATTGTCAGCAGTTGTGGAACCGACTTCTTTAGCGGTACAAAGAAAATGGAGACAAATATAACCACTAAAGACTTGAGAAACCTCAAGTGCTGATGCAGTCTCACTGATGTATGAAATTCCCTGTAACTACTTAAGGAAGGGACTCATCAGGCTGTCAATCATGCAATCGGATAGATCAGAATACAGTCATTTTAATCTTTGAATTGGCCCTCCGCGTGAGCAGGAATATTTTCTTGACTATTTTCGTTTTGCTTATAACTTTTGTACTTCCGTCTCATGAGGTTCAATATGGACTATTCGTCCGTCCTTGTGAACGAATTTCTGATACACGGGGCTCTGACTAGTAACGGTATTTGTTAAATCTGCTCCAAAATCCCTAGTAGGAGGACATCTCTGCGCCCGAAAAGTCGTGGTTTGTTAGCGCTGGGCGGACGACTTTTCTGTGACATTGTGCGACCACATTCACACAATAAACAAAACCTAAATGGTCCGGGTGCTCTTAGAATCATTCCATCCAAGTATTTATTAATTCGGCCACCCCTGCTTGATAAGTTTCATGGCCCAACTAGTTGATCTGTACCATCAGCCAGCTGTCTGCTATTCTACCGCCCGTGACTCTGTATACACTAGATTTGACCATGGTTGCGAACAGGCGTTCATCTTTCGGCACAAGTGAGATGTATCCTTGCAATGAATTAACCAATATACTCAAGATACTCTGAACAATTTTGGAATCTTCTATCGAGAATGGCAGGAATGAAGTTCTCCCATCTGCGGTTTTTCGCTGTTTGTGGTGGGTAGAATAATTTTACGAAATCAATATAGCTATAATATATATTCTTCATCGGATAAATAGAACCACAGTCAATGAAAATTTTGTTTACAATTGGTAATTATACATGTAATAACTCATTTGTGAAAATTTCTGCCTATCAAGATGAGTCTTAGTCGACCGAATGGTACATGATTGAAGCTCCATTGACGTCGGTCAGATTTGGTGGCAGACAGTACCACGGCCACCTAGTAGGTTACCCCGTCTGGCCCATCGGAGCCACAAATGTTTATCTGTCAAATGTCTCAGATCTGTAATTGCAAACCATTAGATACTGTATTGTATTTGATGCCGATTGAGATGGGTGCACGGTTTTACCGCTCTCCAGATTACGCGAAAACAGAGAAAAGCTTTTTTACAGCGGTTGATTGTGACGATTCACTCAACATTTACTGTAGTAAGAAACGGAATCGTTTTCATGAACAATTCGGCAAAATTAGGTTAGTAACTTACAATAACAATCGGTGATAGTATTTTTGTGCATTGATCTGTGCCGAACGTTTCTCCACCTCATGCCGTATCAACCAGTAACGCTTTTCCAAAGTGTTCAGATCCGGTCCCTGATCAACTTTCATTATCGTCGTGGGAGAGGCCTGTTGCAGAATGGCTGCATGCTCCTACAGGTGAAGACGGTGTTGACAGTTGTAATTGTGATGGGTAGCGGTACGAAAAAGTTAAGCCAGCATTAGAAGTCGGTGCCGATGAGGGACGTGGTTCAGTGCTGTTTGCATACCATGGTGCTATGCTAATCGTAGTCATTTAACCGATAGAACTTGCTGAAGCGGCTCCTAGGCAGGACGACGTACACCGACGTAATAAGAATACCAAGGATGGGGAATTGCATGTTACGGAACTTATTCGTGTATACAGGTATGCTTGAGTGTGCTAAGTGGTAAGTTCCTGGTCGACTAACCACAGCTGACTTTGGTTACACTTGTTCAAGCTGTTTCTGATAGGCTGAGGCTTCCACTATTCCTGGCCACGAAGCCTAACCACACGGGGTCAGGTGAACTTCATATCTAATAACCCCGCTGAGTTGCATTGTGTTCCATTTTGTCTTGTCGTATTTTATCAATTTCGTTTAAGAAGTATTGTGTACCAGCGCCTACATTTTAGTCAAAACCAAAGTCACTAGCTCTATGTATAATACAACAAAATTCATGAGTAATTCGAGCAAACTATTTTCCTGTAGATCGGTGAGTTCCTCAGAGTCCCCACTGCATCGGTACTTTGGACACTGAGTCCGTTGGACTGGTGGAGGCGACAATAAGGTAATAGAAATGTTAAGCCAATTTTGTTACAATGCATGATTCACTTCCTGAACAACTTTGCTCCATCTCTGCTGATGCTTTCGACGGAACGATTCATGGTTTATATACAGTCGTGCAATGCTGCCATATTGACGTCTCTTATCAGCTTCAATACCGACGAGGTTTGCTTCAAAAGTAATAAGACTAATCCCTCATAAGCGATAACAGGATAACTTGGTGACAATTAGATGTGTAGATGTGTGTTTACTGGTTATACCCATGACGTTTGTAATTATTAATTTGGTTACTGCTAGCGATGTTAGTAGTTCGTTTTTGAGGTTTACCTACGTCATCCTTGAAATTAAGAGTGAGGACATCATTTTGTGCAAATTATAACTTCGAACGTGTAACTGTTGACCCCAACAGTGATTTCAGAAAAAAAGTAAGGGCTTCTAACAGCATTGTTACCGATGCTTATATGACTATGTTCCCGCCTTTTATGAATAAACTGGTCATGTTATTCAAGTTTGCAGCTCCGAGCACAGAGAACCAGAATAAAGGGGCATTTACACATGTTACTCTGTACGAACTTCTAGGACTTTGTTTGACGGCACCTTGTACAGTTTCTGGAATTTTATTTAAACGGATGAAAGTATCTGACCTGGTATTCAGAAGTTTACGCTGAAGTGCCTTGAAATCATTTGTTAAAATAGTAACAAGGTCATCTGAGTAGCAGTAAAGTAAATAGAGAGAACACACTGAGAGAGCAGAACGTGAAAACGGACAGCCTGTTTGTCTGTAATTGTTTAAAAGTCAGTAAAAAACGTCTTCCATGGAGCCTGTCATTACCTGACATTTTTGTGGATGTGGATCACTTAACTCAAATCAGGCTAACAATCGACACACTTCCGAATTCGATCGGTTACGATGTCTACTTTTGATCGCAGAACTAACTAGTTTTTCATAGACTTAGAAGTATTTCAACCCTTTTTTAATGAAAAACTACCGTATACTTTGCGTGACAAAAGTATGGGACCTCCTCTCATTTTCCTGCACATATTCACTTCTGCTCTCGCTAACGAAACTATATCCGGCCAGAAAGATCGGCTGCCCATTACAACGCAGAATATGAAATTCCACAACAAAATAATCTATTATGTGGTAACGAAATCAGAATATGCAAAAGGGGTGGGTGCTAGTACAGGACCCCATTCAGCTCGGCTTCAATAAATACTACTAAATATCGTGTGCAACCTCTGTTCTGCTTGTGAACCTCGATGCATCTTTTCAGCAAACTTCTCACAACACCTGCCATTGTCCCCTGATCAATATTCACCCACATTCGCATAAGAGTGTGATGAACTCACTCTTTGGCCGGTAAACTATGCAATCCTTGTAAACCTGGCGACCCATAGGTTCTCGGTCGGGTTTAGATCTGGGCTACAGACTGGCTACTACATGACCTTGATCCCAAGGAACAACAGCCAAAATTTCATAGTGTATGAGTAGTAGAAAACCATTATCATGTTGAAATATTACATCATCTTGTAATATGTTAACAACTAGCGGGAGCAGGATCTGTTTCAATGTACTCGAATGCATACCGGAATCCTGTTTGTCGTCGAGTTTAACTAGCTCACCTTGGCCGTTGGCTGAGAAGGATCCCCAAACCATCACTGAACTCTTGTCATTGTTTCTTTGACTAAAAATGCCTTTTTTTCTGATATCGTACTAGTAATAATTTTAAGCATCCGGTCCATCCTAATTGAATTCTTTTCACCCCCAATGTAAACATTTCCCCAGTTTTTCGTTCAGGCTACGTGCTCTCAGCCTATGACAAGTGTGGTTCTTATGTAATGGTGTGAGAGCATTGCATAATGTCATCCTTTTGGCATTTTATCTGTGGCACAACGTTGAGTATCTTTTCTAAAGTTCGTTTTGAGACACCGACTTCCATCGAAGCCTTCAATGTCGACTTGGAGCATGTGCTATTGGAGGTTAGACGAATTATTGTACTTTCGTCCGATTTTGTTGGCATTTTGGACGACCCATTCGCTTTTTAGGTTCACGTTACTCGTTACATTAGAGACAACGTCATACGACATTTCTCGATCTCTCGCATTGCTTGGAGATCTCATGCAAACTAATTCCTATTTGATAGAACGCGGATAATTCGCTCTTTTCGAATTCTGTTAGTTTATTTTATTGTGATATTGCGCAGATAAAATTTGGAGTGAGTTCTGTAAGGTGTATACGCGCAACCAGTGCAAATGGAGGTCACCTAAAAAACACTGGGATGCTTCACGTGCCCCATTGCATATGAATCACGTGATTTCGGCTATCGTGGTTTTGTCAGTTGCCAAATCCACGGACCGAACTCATCAGCCTGTTGCCAGACTCACTGGTCCGTCTGGTTGTGCGAAATTTCCCATGGGACAGCTCACCAGACAGGGCGATGCTTTACTTTGGTTACTCTCCTTTTTTACGTGTTCTGCTCTAATTAGCACACAGGGCATAGTTTTCTTCTGAATTTTTATATGCCGAGTAGTATTGTGCATTCGGTTGTTCTGATCGGATATGATTTTGTTATATAATATACAACCAGAAATATGAGGAAACATGAAGAAGAGAAAGAAAGATTAGTGTTTATCGTGACTCAAAGTTACTTGTTAGAGTTTATTCGGGATGGACAATCAGAGGGAATGGATCGGAATATAAGGCCGTTCGAAGGACCGCGGAGGTGCGAAGTAATTTCGTTCACTTTCCGTAAAGTCGGTAAACAACGATTAAAAATAACGAGTGGTAAAGGGGAAAGTTTTATAAACTTCGAATATTTATTAAATAAATCACTTTTCGTGCAAGCGTGTTCATTGCTGAGGAAACTGATAATGCCACCTACCCGATTTAGTAGTATGAGATTTGTCTTTTGTTCATTGCATCATTTATCACGCATCATGCAAGATGAATGTTCAGATCGACATTGGAAGACCTAGGGAGCACTTGATACATAACTGTTTCGATTTGACTTTTCAGGAATCGTCAGCGGTGAGGCATGTCTACCAGATGTCAATTAGAACAAGATTGGAAGTCTCAAATGGGATTTCGATCATTTCGTGGGTAGCGAGCTGTTGCTATTTTAAGGCCTATGATGGACGAACACTATATCATGAAGTACTGACCTTAAGCAAGCCACTGGGACCCAGTCCGGATAGTTTCGTGTGTGATGTGTGGGCAGTCTCATTCTATCCCCCCCCCTCATATACATCCAATCACACAGTACAAGCAGTTCCAGAATGGGGCTCTGTACATATGCACTGCTGCTGATGGTTCCCAGCGAGGATAATGCAGCTGTACAGTTCGTCTATGGAGCGCTTGGATGGTGATTTGAGCGGTTGCATACTACTTGTCTGCAATCATTGATCAAATTTGTTTTAAATGTTACCTCAAGGTAAGTTTATACGTTTAACTCAACAAATTTCATCAGACATAGACTGGCAGTTTCAGCCTAGTATTCAAATGACATCAGCGTGTTGAAGAAGTCCCCCTAAAGGGTCTTCAGTAAACAAACAGGGATCTTTTTTTACAAACCCGGTGTTTACAGAAGCAGTACCAACAAATTCCAGTTACTTTTATTAATTGTGAATAAACGAATAGAACCATATCTCATTTGCTGTTGATGTCACAACCAACAGCGAGCGCTGTGAAATCATATTGATACACAGGTCCATGTCGTGTACGAAATGCTACATTGAAGTGGTCAGAAGTCGCCATCATACACCAACTGAACACCCATTCCACGATTCGCTATCTTAGATACAGATTGAGTTCTCTGAGGTGTTTTCCTCCAGATTGCGGTACACAGTTTTTATTCAGAGGATCCCAGGAGGACCTTGATTAAAGGCTGAACCTTATTAACCACAATCAAATGGCTAGACTGAGGGATTTGTGAATGCTTCCAATCAAGCGGCCTTCATTATCATGGAAACGATAAAACACGTCGAACAAGTGAATGCAGTGACTAGAAAGAAGATAAAATGAAATCCACGAATAGGTGGGGATTACCTGAGTCAAAAATTACGATGATGTCAATCCAGGAGATCATTAGCCAAGCCAGCCCACTTTCTTCAAGCAATAAGGATAAATATCTGTCAACTCTATTATAGGTGAGAGGCTGTGGCCGAGTGAATGACCGATTGGACAAATGGGAGACACATCGAATGGTAGGTTAACTGATTATTCAACCAATCAGCCGACCGAGTGATTGTTTTATTGACTGACAACTTTGTAAAATTACTCCACAAGATTAGTTTATTAGCCTGATAAACGACTGGTTGATCGGTTGACTGGCCGGTCAGTTAAATGACAGA